AAATATGACAATTCTGATAGTATACCATATGATTAATGCCTAGAGCCTCCTCGAACGCTTCAGAAGGGGCAATATGTCTTCGGATTTAGCCTTAATGTCGGTGTTAGGAGAGCTCCGCACCCAGTGGTTTTTGCAATTTTTTCCGGTTGCCATACACCTGCAAATGGCCATCGTTTCGTTGGCTGGAGAGGGGAGATAATGAAGGGCAAAGGCTCCTCTTAGTGTATGATCGAATGAGGACTTGTGAGGGGTGATACTGTTCGAGGGGAGCTGTATGGGAGGCATAGGAGGGGATGAACTACTGGCATAAGCATCCTTGGCCTGTAGGCAGAGAGGACCTGCATGTTCTACATATTCCTAGACTCAGAAAAGACGATAAAATAAATTAACAATAATACACTATGGCTATTTAAGGCATAGCGCACACAATGCTCTTCAATTTGTAAATCTCCTTGCCATAATTCGATATTTCACAACCGTCAAAATTGCATTCTTCCTCTGCATCATGTTGTAAACTTATCCTGATTAGTCTCATGCTCATCCCAGAGAACTGTCTCCTACACTTGTGCACACGCTTTGCTTACTCCTGCGGGTGTAAACGTCGGCGTGGGTGTGTATTTGGCGGCTAGCTGAGGCCAGAAAATAGTCGAGGAGAGGTGTGGTCATTGGAATGAGGATGTACTAGGTCGTACTTGTAGATTTTATGAGGCTTAGGCAGGAGTCAAACTCGCTGGGAGTGAAAAAACGACTTGGTGGAGTATTTTGAATCATTGCCTCGTGGGCCAACTTCTATCGTATTGTGAAATTTGACTGAACTTGGCTCTGGGAGAATAATCCACTCCCAGGTTCGTAGAGAATACCGCGGACGAGTGTTCAATCTTTGTCCTCACTCACAAGTTCTCACATGGTCACCCACTCGGAGCATGTTTTGCGATACTTTGGGAAAAATGGCGAGGGTGAAGAAACTTCATCTGTGCGTCGAGGATGTCTTAGCACGTCCCAAATCTACATGGTTCTAGCTATCAGGGTATCAGCAGTTCACACTGGTCTATCCTTCACCGTCCCCATGCCTTCAGTCAATAAATCCTCTACAATAGAAGGTGGCGTGGAGGGATAATCAGAGTACCGATTGCCCAGCGCATGAAGACACAAACAATTATCACGATGAATATGTTTTTTTAGCTTCGACAAAGCAAACGTTTGAGGCTCGCGTGAAAGTTAAGCGAGCACCAGCCGCATGACTAGCATGCCTCTTGAAATATCAATCGTATTCATTCATTTATTTTTAAGATCAACCAGGTGAGAGCGAGGGCCATTGCTCAGTCATAGGGGAGGCTTGGTGACTGTAAAGATTAGACGTATTCAATTGTGTGTGCTGGATAGTGAAGTAGAATGTTATGCTGTGGCTGATCTCCTCGGCGCCGGAGAGAACTAGCATATCAGCTTCTATTATTAGTTTCTTTGCCTCGTGTGCGCATTGATTTCCTTCCTCTATCACGAGATAGGCTTAGTGTAGAGTCAACGCACACCCTGCAGGGCAAGTCATGGATTACTGCTCCGGGATCTACTTCCTCGTATGCATTGTACGGCTGGGTGACGCGAACTTAAAGGCAGAACGGGTAGTTCAAAGTTTGACCTAGCCCTATTCGGTTAGTTACCGGACCCGACGCATCAGATATTCCTAAGATCCCGCCGTCATCCGTTCGGCTTTAGAGTCTCCTATCCAGCCTCTAGTAGGACATCCAGTTTTGACCACGTGAAGTCGTCGCTACCTATTCCATGAGGCTCATCTCCAACGTCAACATCCCGATACTTTCGGATGAATGACAAATTCGGATGCATCTTAAGTAGTTCCCCACACCAGCAGGTATAGAGATATTATACACGCAATGTAGAGTTTATCTACTCCTAAAAAGTCTAATGGATATTCAAGTTCTAGGTCAGGGCTGTGACATGGTGAAATTTCATCCAGCGCTCCTCCATGCTGCGCCTTTACACTCTGCTTGCAGAACTTGAAGATCTAGACAAATACTTATCGTGAGAGACCCTTCGACTCCAACCATGCTAACTTCCAGCCCGTTAGCTCTTCGCTCAAGCCGGTCTCACCTCTGCATGTGTGGTTTTGGCCAAATAAGGCGAGCTGTCTACTTTTCGCGCTTTTTCACGTATCTCGTTGTCAACCTACCTGCGCCACCAAGCGCCAGCCTGCTATTTTCATCCATGGGCGTGGGGAGTTATTTCTGACCTGTCAAACTACTGGTCCCTCTAAGCACAGCCTGCCGAACCCTAAACGGGCTGAGATGAGACTTTATCCAATTGTAGGGCTTCCGGCACAGAATCTACGCAATCTTCAGCGCAAATAATCCCTGGAAAACACCGGGATGCGTGGGAGGTGATCAGCAACGTTATGGATTAATTGGATTACATCACCTGCAGCCATTCCTTTTGCCCATGGCCCACGCCTTCTCATTCTCGAAGGCGAAGATACGATAACTCAAGCTTTACTACTCGGACCCCAAGTCTCAGTGTAGTGACATATTCGGCCACAAGAAAGGCACTAATGGCCAACGCCTATTTTGCATTATCATTGATCTGCATCCATCACTGCAGCCGGGGTCAGCGAATAATTCCACAACAGAAAAACCAACCAATTGGCTGATTTCAATGTAAAGTGTGAGTAGTAGATCGTTCGTCGGCACCTTAAATAGCAAGACAAACAACTTCTATATCGGCATGGCCTATCTGTCGGTTCGTGCGAGGTGCAGATTTCCCACCACGTTCGGTACCACGTGGGTGCTTCTTATATCAACGTCTATGAAGTACTGGATGTGATCATATTCGTTATCGTGCAATCCAATTTGAGCCCAACCAAAAATTCATAAAAAGAAGAGCTCAACTTATTCTCAGGTCATGACGTCCTATTCTGGTGAGTCGCGAGTTTAGGCAGCGTGTCAACCTTCTGCCAAATTTTGCTGGGCCGGAGCGGGATGTTGCAAACGCCGGTCGACAAGGCGAATAAATTACCCTTTGGGTATCCCTAACAACAGTTACTAATACTATCACAGAAATACCGCTGCAAGATTTTTCTGTACCCATCCCCCCCGCCTACAATCGGCAAGCACCTTATGTCTGTAAACCGGATCTAGACGTTTATTCCCGACCCAGCCGTGATACGTTTGAGCCTGACCCCAATGAGCCAGATCAGGGCTGGCAAGAGAAGGAACAGTATGACCACAAGTTATCTAGCGGAAGGTTTGGGCTGCCAGTCCTGGTCATATTGCAGCACTCTCGTATTTTTTTTCGGGCTCTAGCTGTACTAATCATGCTGGCGTCTATCGCCTTAGTCTTGGCAGCTGTGGTGATATTTGAAAAGATGCGGAGCAATCAAAAAGTTCGTGAGCTAGCTTCCCGTGGTTCCGTCACAATCAAACCATGTGCTGTGTTCCTCGGAATCGCCGCCATGAATCTAATCATGAGTATCATGCTGTTAGCTGTTTCCTCTCTTCCGACCAAGGTATGTTTTCTGTGGCCACGAGTTTCCACATTATCTAATCTCAAACTTTCAGCTTCGGCGAAGTCAGAATACAATAAATTTTGCTTTTGCGATTGTTGGCGTGATTGGATTTAGTACTTCCATGGGAGCTTGTTTTTACTTAGATAAGGCTCGTTTAGAACAAAAGCTTTAGTCTAGCATGAACTGACCAAAAGTAGGAAACTCAACTGCAGAATGACCTTTGGAAATGGTCATGTGCTAAAGCTAAACTTGACACTATGAATGATACTTTCAAATTCCATGTCATCTGCAAAGTTATCACATTTGGTTGGAATTTAGGCGTTATACAAGCATCTCTTGAGATGCTTACGTTTGTCCTATCTATTGTGGCATTTATTCTTCTCAAGTATCATTGTTGGTATGAATATGGCCACATAGGAAAAGTAGTTTGAAATATACCATAATTATTCCACTTCACCCTTTAGCCCTCCGAAGTTCCAAATACCTTTCCACAATCAGCCACTAATCCAAGAATGACGCAAGCTGGTTAAAGATAGAATCGCTTGGGAATACAGAATTCCGAGTCCTACGACTGCCGAAATTAATTCGCGACGTGGGACTTCTATGTTCAAGTTGGTAAAATAGGTGAAAGAGGTGATATTTTTAATTACGTCTCAGCTTTATTCGAATTAACTTCCATCCACGTGTTGACTTGTATTCAAAGACCTATCTTTTACCTGGAAATTTTCTGGATTTATAGGTTGCGTCTCCCATACAACCTTGATACTCAAGAGAAGAGCTCCATCAACCGGCTCGGCCATGAGCCAAGTCAATAAGATTTGTGTGGTTGACTGTCTAAAATTATGTTATACTTGCCTTCGTCCAGTTGCGAGTCTGAATGATGTGGAAGTTATCGCTGTAATTTTACTAATGGTTCCATTGCTTCGTACTAGTCATAGACTTTGCGCCTGACATAAAACTATGGCTTTAACGCTAGGTCCATATATATTGCAAATGCCGTATAATTCTAATCTACTAAGAAGAATTGTATGGCTCATGACGAATAAGCTCGACAATCATGAAACATTTCCATATCAAAACTTCTACTTCGCTCCCTAACCCTCGTACTTCTTTGCCTAAAATGAACAGCTGAGCCGCGATCCCAATTGATTTGGAATTAATTATCTGTCAGACATGACATAATACCTTAATTCCCATGCAGTTAACTCGTCTTCTCAGCTTGTCTGAGCAGGGCTTGTGGTTACATTAATACGGGTTTCCGTGCTTATGCACTGATTGATGCATTCTTCCTGCGGGAGAGCGTTCGGAATATTTTAAAATTCATATTATATCCATCAGCGCATGCTTGCGAAATTAGATTTCCAGAATCTTCAGATCACTTTTCCATGAGACAAACAATCCACGGCATAAACATATCATAGAGATTTGGTCATCTAAAGTTCTTCATTTTTTACTCAAAATCTTATACATTGCTTCTCCTACCATAATGATCACTAGATTCTGCGCCATCGCGTTAGCTCTCAACCTCTGCCATGGTACTAATGCACTTTCCCTAGCTCCAACAGAGAAATTAGATGCCAGCAGATACATCGTCCGACGTCAGAATCCATCACTGCAATCTGGTTCGCTACCCGTACGACGCAATATTTTAGAATTTCAAAACGATCGAGTATCCTGGTACGCGCTCATTCGTGGTTTTCTCCTGCAAATTAGGCGCTATGATGCTAATAGATATCTAATTGGAATTTTAGGCCCCTGTTCATTCAAGCTCTAAAAAGGCTGCAGGCCAAAGAAGAGAGTGATCCTTATTCCTACTTCCAGCTTGCGGGTAAGGGCCTAGGAAAAAGGAAACCAGTTGAATCATAGCTAAATTGAACAGGTATCCATGGACGCCCCTATATTGGATGGAATGGCGATTCAAAGATATTAGGAACCAATGATTTGGGGTATTGTGTTCACAGTTGGTCACTCCACGATTATAGTCATAGAGTTAAAAGTAACATTCAAGAATAGACACCGTCTTGTTTTTACCATGGCACCGGCCGTACATGTCAATGATTGAGCAATTGTTGGTAATTGAGGCGCAAGAAGTTGCAAAACTTTATCCTGACAACACCATCTACCTGGAAGCGGCAGCACGTCTCCGTTTTCCTTACTGGGACTGGGCCGCCAATCCAGCTCTTCCGGATATCGTCAATCAGCCACAAATCCAGATTGAATCGTGGAATGGAACCCAGCTAGTCGATAATCCTCTCTACGAATATAAATTTCAAAGCCCACTTGATAGGGACCTTTTCCCTTCTAACTCGTCAGATGGTTGGTTCGCATTTTACCGACACACTGTCCGGGGAGTCAATACAAGAAATCCAAAGGAAGTTAGTCATCCTGATGTTGTCAATACATCTCTTCAACGAGGTAATCTTAGGGCCAATACAGTATGTATTTCACTAAAATACGTACAATCTTATTAACAGAAGTGTTAGTGGCGTGCCTTGGCCAGGTCAACGACTTTTAATATTTTTAGCTCAACTTCAACACCTGGTTCCTCTATTGAAGCTGTTCACAACACTGTTCATAGCGCGATAGGCGCCAGATACGGTCACATGTCGTATTTATCATATGCTGCATATGATCCATTGTTGTAAGTTGCCGTAATTAACAGGATATAGTGGATCTCGAACTGACACTATCCTCTCAGTTGGCTTCACCATGCAAATATTGATCGTCTATTTGCTCTATGGCAAGTTCTTCATCCCGAATCTTTTGTACAGCCCGAAGAAGATGTTTTTGGCAATTTTATAACTTTGCCCCATACAATTGTTGATGTTAACACATCGCTTCGCCCGTTTCGAGAGGAAAGAAGTGGCGAATGGTGGACCTCGAACTCGGCACGCTATATCGATACATTTTCATATACTTATCCCGAACTCCAAGGAAACCGTACGTCCGATCAGCTTAAGGCTAATGTTACAGCTGCTATCAACAGGCTCTACCAACCAACTAATTCGGCCCGTAAACGATTCATAAGGTCCAGTCCAGGATCAACAGCAGCTTTCTTGCCAACAAGAGAATGGTCACTTAGTGTGAGTGTTTCTAAATTCGATGCTGGAGGCGCAAACTTCAGAATTTTGGTTTTCTTAGGGCAAGTTCCTGCAGATCCTGAGGAATGGGAATTATCTGAAGCCTTTATTGGATCAATATCCATATTCCCCCCTCCGTATGTGCCGATAACAGCATTCGATCCATTTCCAGAGGTGATAACCCACTCCGAGGTTGATCTAGACGAAGGCCTCGAGCGCTACGGTATGAATGTCGAAGATTCATCAAGCGTGGTTGAATTTCTGAAGGAAGAGCTACAATGGCGTATTCAAAAGGTCTTATTTCTTCCCCAAATTAATCTACAAACCGATCACTAATATTTTGTACCATAGACGGATGGCGAGGTTATCCCCCCGGAAAATATTCCCAGTTTGCTAATGGAAGTCGAAGAGGAGACCGTCTCGTGGCCAACTGATGTCACGGAGCTGCCCTCCTATGGTGCAAAGACTTCGCATCCAGATGCCATTGGTAGCATGATGTGAAAATTTGCTACCAAAGAAGTCTATTTTTGTTCCTTAACAAATAAGTTTGACCATATTTTGTATTTTTGAAAAACGGGATATATTTCATGTTGAGAACATCCTCGGCTGTTAAGATTTATTACCTTTCTCTATTGTCTTGTGATAGGCTAGTGTGTTTGAATCCTGGGGTGACCAATTGCATAAAATTTCTAATAATAATTATAATTGCTATAATAAAATTTTTTGCAGATTTGACACTAATTAGTTCTTATTTTTGAGGTCAGTCGAGCTAGAAATGATAAAGAGTTATAGTCTGCAGAAACCTTCTTCCATACCACTAAAACGAAGAGACAGAAGACCTTACCTCCTTTCTTTGGATTTATACGCGTAAATTGTCTTTCTATTCAGTCAACCACCTCTGACACTGATTGCCATACATGAAACACATATTTTGTAATAAGAAAAGCTAAAGTTAAAAATTTCAGCAATGAACTTTTGGCACAACATCAAAAGGATTCCACGACTTTACCATAATTTGTTTGTCTCAATCCAAAATGAGGTTAAATAAGATTACAGAGACTCTATATTGATAATGTTGTAGTATGAAGCGCATGTATTTTTTTCTTGAGGTCTTTTCAGTTGCTAGACTTGAATTGCCTGAATTTCAAGGGAATATGAGTCTTCATCTTGGTCTCAGTGTCTGGGAGGTTTATTCTGTACACTTATCTTATTTAGAACCTATTACTCTTTGAGCTTGAATCGGTCCAAGTAGATGGCACAAGTGGGGGTGCATGGAGGTTGTTTCGACAATATCAGCGGACCTATGCGTGAAGATGATTAAGCGAGCAATTGTTCGCTTGGTGAAGACCATCCCCAACTCCACGTAATATATTTTTAGTTCATTGTCCTGATTTGACGCCTTGAGGCCCATGCGGGTTTTTATCGGAAGATATGTACTTCAAGTAAGATGACTCATTTTGACGTTTAGAACACTCACACTCAGATTTCATTTGCAGATAGCACTCGAGGTTAACCCTTACGGCGTATAACCTCTTCCGTGCATACCCACCACAGGGAAAAGCGTGAAAAACCTGTGGCTATCCAAGTGTGCTTTCATCATCCCACAAGTACAATTTCACCGCGATAGAGAGTGGTGTGTGGATGTTACTAGATTCGAACCAGTTTTCTCCTGTCCCAAATGGGGCAGGTGATCAAGCTACCCAGTATCTACTTGGGAGAACGGCCCGGATGGTGTACCACTGCACCATCCAGCCCAACGCCACGTAATAGTAACTTATATCCTGACTACTTAAATACAGATAATTTTTGGTGATTTGTGCATATTGTGGTTGTGTCATTGCCTTCAGACACTCTCCCAATCTATATTTCGTATGGAAATACCACTATAAGGTATGTTTGCTTACGCAGAACAGTCTACCCTCATGCATTAGTACCAACCAATGTGAAGTGTCAGAATATTTCATTATCCAAGCACGTTTTCATTATTTACACACAAAACCGCGAGAAATGTGCCATGGTGTTGCCAAATTCGAAGCAGCGATCTCCCGTATTCTATAAAATATCTATCCAAGCTATTCAGAGTCTACTTGAGAGTCTGGACTAGATGATAAGCCATTACATCATGTAGCCAAGATTAAGTTTGCAGTGCGGCCTGCGCTCTTAAAAACAAATTGATAGGTGGCACAGTGTCTACAACGTGAAATATCCTTCACAAAATTAAATTTTCAAACCTCTCAAGAGTTTGACCATAGTGCATTATTTTCTCTATCTTTCCTGATCTCTCACACATCCACCTGAAAAATTTGTCTCTCTAGATTTGTGAGCTAGAATTTATGTTCTCTTGCTGGTATTCTCATTTTTTTTGGCATGTAGTTAGAGGCTGGACTAGAGAATGACAAGGTCGATGAGGCGTGTTCACTGAAACCAGGTTGTGGTAGACCGTAATTGTAGGCCTGAAAAATATTTAGTCGGAGCCAAGATATTTGATAGCGAAGGGTTGATGTGTTAGGAGGCCTTGAATTTTTGACTTCTGGGCAAACTTCTTAGCTATTATAATATTTGCCTGAGCTTGAGTCAGTATATATTTCACTCTCAGGCGCGTTATTGCCACCTCGCATAGGTGTAAAGTCTTTATCCTCCGGCACAATGTTGTCCGTGTGCTCTAGGCACTCGGCTTTTATTGTCTAATACACAGGTTGATTACAATACAAAGATAGTGCAAATGAGGAAGAGAAGTGTTCTGATGCTGATAATCTTCTGTTACAGAAACAAAAACTACGGCTTCAAAGGTAATGGATTCATCTGCGTGGACATGGTATGCCTACTCTTTAATTTCTTCATTCTTTTTTTCCTTATCAACTGAGATGAGTCTTCCAACGACCAAGTACTTCTCCTTGAACCTTTCCTCCCATCCTTGAAGCGCTTCAAGCTCATCTTCGTCAAGATCTTCTAGTTTATCTAATGGTCCTTCCAGGTCTTTCGTTAATACCTCTTCATCAAAGCTCCCTTTTGCAAGCCCGCGACTCGCATCTCGACCAGCAAAATTCTCATAGGGACCTCCTGGTCCATAGAAATTTCGCCCTCTTGATACATCGTAAACTTGTCCTCGGACAGCTAGGTAAACTGGCATGTCATTTTGACCATTGTATGGAAGCAGTGTTGCTGGTATAAAGGTGCGAAATACTGTAGGGGTAGGTGGGGCCGGCAAGACTGGCGGAGGTACAGGTTTGAGTTGTTTGTACAAAATGTAAATGAGGAGTGAAAGAAGGATGGCGTTTATAGGAGAGAATATCGTTTGGCTGATGAATGTGAGTAATTTCTAGTAATCTTGAAGGTGAAACGTACACTTCGGGTGAGAGAGGGGGTTTCGCAGCTTCTATTTACCCGATTAAAATTGTGCGCCAAGCAATCTGAAGATTGACAATATTACCTTGGGCCATCCGTTTTTCAACATAATCCATTTTGATGGTTTTCAGGGGTGTTTGATGAATTTCTGTAATGGTAAAGATGCAGCTGTGAGGGTTGTCCAGGTGCTGTAGGAGGTGGGTTGGTGAGAGAGTTCACCTGTAGGCTCAAACGTATCAGCCTTCCCCACTAAAAGACAACCTATGGGAATTTGGTACGTCTTACAACTTGCTTCTAAAGATACAGTTCAAAAACTATACATTATTTAGCTGCATCCCCTTAAAACCTCTATGTCGACGCAATCCTGCAGAGTTATGGCTGAATCTTGGGCATCCCCTAGAAGCCGAGGCAGTGCGAAGAAGTAGGGTTAGACTACGCTACAGTACACGCTGTTTGTCAAGATATTGTCAAGATATTGCCGAAACCTTACAGATCCATGATTCGTCCCAGGGCACGAGTTATGAAAGTTTTTGATATGAGGATAAGAGGATAAAGTGTACCTTCCTATATACAAACAGTTCTGCATCGCTCGGATGGCCAAACACACTATTGTAAATTCTTTAATTATCTTTTTTCAGGCTGTGCCTATGTAGAGCATATAGGTCCTTTCTTCTTCCAAGGTAAAGATACCGATCTAGTAATATATCCCCTTCTATTCCTCTCACTCAGTTTCCCTCGCAGTACCACACCTCACAAGTCCTCATTCGATTGTACACTTTGAGGAGCCCTTTGCCCTTCATTATCTCCCCTCTCCTGTCAATGAAACGATGGCCATCCGATCTCTTGGACTGCACAAGAAGGGTAGCTATATCTTTCGATCTGGTTCTCTTGTCGGAATCAAGGGGTCCTGCACACAGTGGGGGTTTTAAGTCTTCCATGTCGCCATTCATCCGAAACTAGCCTCATTTCATTAGTTCTAGATGGTTGATATTTAATATTCAATGGTTTCCGAAGTGTATGAATGAAAATGTGTGAGGAACGATGTTGATCGATGAAAGATGAAGTCTTGGTAGAGTGGAGTATTAACTAGACGCGAAGAAGGTACCCCTGCATCATATGCAAACAGGCTCTTCGTCACGTATATTCATCGGGAGAGGAAGGCAAATTAAACACAAAATCAATATGCTAAGATTAGCTTAGATTTATATTAAAGTCGCTACTGACCCAAAGCAAGATCGCCACTCAGCTAAGAAGCGAGCATATCGGACTCAATTCTTACCTGAGCAGAAGAAAAGTACCCGAGTAGAAAAGCCAAGCTGTCAATGTGGATATCCGTCGCAAAACGTCAAGCATATGGTGTTGGCGTGTCCGCAGTGGGCAAATGGAAGAGGCGACTTTCTCCGACGAGCTAGAGACAGGTCATTTGAAGCCATGATGAACAGCCCAAAAGATGTGGCTAGAATCACACAATGGATACTAAGCAAAGGGTGGATAAAACAGATTCGACTTGCAGGGGAAGTCGAGGTAGCAATGTCGGACAAAAAAATCGATCTGGAAGGGGACAGGACGGAATCCACACTGGCTGAACAGTGTACACTGCACTTCCTGAAGGTAAACTAAATAAATCGATAGGATTGTAAACAGACAGGATCAGGGGGTTCTCACCAAATTGATTTTCTCCTTTGTAAATAATTAAGATAGTCACCTGTATGGACCCATAGGGTGCCTGATCGGGTTAATTGAAATCAAATTCAAAAGTCGCTACTGAGCCTAGTATTGCAGATGACTTTGAGAATCCAGCTACGGATTCAAGTTACATTTCATAAATTTAAAATTGAGATCTTCGAAACTTGGTTCTAATAGAATCACGAGAAGAAGAAGTGGCAGGGAGGCAGCTCCAAGGTAGATGTAGAAGAAGTAGATTGGCTATGAGGAGGAAGTGTCCAGGAACAGGCAGAGACTATATGCTGACGTAGCCGGCAAAGACGAATTCTTCACCTTCCAGTGGTGCCGGTGTAATCGCTCAGTATGCTCTGCATATCTGGGATAGCCAAGAAGAATCGCATCCGAATCGAAGTCGAAAGCAAACACATCCATAGCTCCATTTGACGACTTCTCAATCATGCAGCACTCACCATTATCTTCTGAGTCCTCAACCCCGATCTAACCACATATCAACTCGCCTCGCCGACCGATAAAGGCGTCACCCCAATTGCAAACAGGAGCTTGCCTCATTCAATACCGGCCATCACTCTCTACATATTTACGACGCTATTTATACCCGCAAGGAGGAAATCAAGTCGAAAAATACAAAGTTGGGGTCTTGGTTTATGGGGGACTGCTGCTCTAATGGGGTTGTACATCTTGAGGAAGGACAGGCGGCTGAGATGTGAAGCGAGATGGGAAAGAGGTCTCTGAAGACCGTGTTGGGACTGACATTTTCGAGGAGTTTTCAACTTTGGATTTTTTGTGGGCGCCAAGACCGAGATTTTGGTTAACTGGCCAGGAGGACTTCGATTTTCGATAAGTCAACGGCACTCCCCAGCGCCCTGGACGGCAAAAAAGGAGTCGGGCTAAGCTACTATACAGCAATCACGCTCTGTCAAGACTTTTCTGACATTTCAGTACGACCTTCGGGAGGAAGTTGGAAGGAGGCTAGAAAGGCAGAGGGTGAATTTCCCGAGGTACACACAAGTTTGCAGCGCCCAGCTGGCCGGCCTCTTTGAACGCTTCAGAAGGGGCAATATGTCTTCGGATTTAGTCCTAATGTCGGTATTAGGAGAGTCCCGCACCCAGTGGTTTTTGCGATTTTTTCCGGTTGCCATACACCTGCAAATGGCCATCGTTTCGTTGGCTGGAGAGGGGAGATAATGAAGGGCAAAGGGCTCCTCTTAGTGTACAATCGAATGAGGACTTGTGAGGGGTGGTACTATAAGGAAATGGTTAAACTGTCCTTTGCAGCTATTGATGGTGACATGAATTAAGATGATGAATGTGATTGAGATAGATTTCTATATAGTTTATAATACATGATATGCTCAGGTTCATATACCTCGAGCCAAGCAATCAGATTATCTTCCTCCAGATCTAGATTCATCAGAATAATTACTTACTCAGTAAAATTCTCCTAGTCTCAGTTGTGTGTTTAGGATCTTGATTAGGTTTCTAGTAACTAGTCAATGATGTTTCTCATATCACTGAAACATAGTCATGGTTGATACAACAGGTACAAACGATGAGTCGTGCCTGTACATGACGTTGTGATATAGTCATGATCGTCTGAACAATATCAACTCATGAATGAATCATGTCTCTACATGACAGGTACTGTTTGAGGGGAGCTGTATGGGAGGCATAGGAGGGGATATACTACTGGTATAGGTATCCTTGACCTGTAGGCAGAGAGGACCTGCATGTCCTACATAGTCATAGACTCAGACAGGACAATAAAGTGAATTAATAATATTATTATATGCTGACGTGCACGTACCACATGTACGCACGTCATCTTACATAGGGCCAGGTTGAGGTGAGGCCATAACTAATAGACATCAAAAGGGTGAGTACATGCGTTCATTTTTTGCATCATATTTTAATTACGTATGCAGCTATCTAGCTACGACATAATATCAAAGAAAAGTACAAAATAGATGTCTCGATCACAACAAGAGCACTCATGCCTCTGATTTCATTTGCAAGTACAACTGCGAAGTTATGGTGGCTTTTTCTTCACCCCAAGTCAACCCTCATCCGTGATTATCTACCTAGGGAAACGTCTCCAAACCCTTAAGTTATCCAGACGTACCTCCTTCATCTATTAACTTTTCGCATGTTATATCCTATATGTATGTAAAAGGTAAAGATGTTTTAAAGTGATATTTAATTGATCTCAAACGCCTCAAGATGGCTCCGCGACTAGTTTCATTCAGGAATATCCGACGAATGATTACTGCTGTCGGTGGTATTCAACTATCACTGACATTCTTTCCTATCTTTGAACCTGCGTGTTACACTACATATATAAAGACAGGATCTCAGTGAAATTTACGACCACGTACCGCTTGCCAGTTTAAGAATGGCACATTTGACTCGGAAGTGATTTAGCCACTTAAACCATCTCATCGGTGATCGTATGGGTAGAATTTGTAAATATGTTGCCCGACGTGTAAATTCTTATAGGAACAGTTGTAGTCCAGAGAGTATTCAAGTTCGAGAACTACTCAAGCTAGGCACGGGTACCTGCATACTCACAGATATCTAAGAAACCTTGTCCTGTTGTGCCACTTTTGATGGAATAACAAATTCATATATCACTCTATATATAAAGATGATTTTAGAGCACGCGCAGTTTAATTCATACATCACCGCTAGTCAGATTTCCGCTGAAAAGAACTAGCGCCACCCATGATTGGTATAAAGGTGTTGCACTAGATAATTTCAGACAATTGCTCTCATAGTATCATTCTCGAAGTGGGTGGCTACAGGATGTAGTGAAGCATTGGTGACCGGCACTGCGATTTGGCGCATTCCATTTGTTTTTGTCGGTTGGGCATGATCGACAAAAGGATATATACTCCTGTGCTTGTGAGAACATAGAAAATTCGCTCAGCAAAGTTTGGTATCTGATGTTGCTGAACATGGGCCAGAATTTCAAATCTATGAATTGCAGTTTGTTAAAAAACATCAACTCATCATAGTCTTTGTATTCAGCACGAAAGAGCGGTGTGAGAGCTGCTAATGGTAGTCGAGAAGCTCGAAATGTTTGCCTAGATTCTTATCTTCTAGCGCTCTTTGGCTTCTTTATCGACTTTGTAAATTGGTCTATTTTCACTGACACGGAAATAATTCATGAGATTTCTTAATGAAAGGCTAGGATTGATTCCGTTATAATTTGATTGAAGACTTATCCTATAATTAAGAGGCTACAAAGTCTTTATATATCTAATGACGGGATAACGGCTCCTCTTAGTGTGTACTCGAATGAAGACCTGTGGGGGCATTACTGCTGGAAAGAAGTCGTGAGGGAGGCAATGGAGGGAGTACACTACCCGAGGCATATATACTCCCGGCCTGTAGGCAGAAAGGACCTACATGTCCTTACATAGTTATAGACTTT